AGGGCTCCAGAGGGAACCCGCTAGCGGCCGGCTGTCCTCATGAAAAGATAAACACGCAGATCCGATAAGTTACACTTTTCTTTACCGCTTCCAATTACTTGCTAGTAAAATGAAAGGAGACCTTTGCTAATTTGGAACAGATTCCACTGCCTTTTCGGCTGCTTTTCCCCTCATCTTTTTCCCCCCCTTTTTTTTCCTTTTCTCTGGTCTGGTCTGACTTACTTGAAATAAACTGATTTTGGCTGCAGCAGCAGAAAAAAAACTTTGTACCCTTAGGGGCAGATCCATACAGGATGCTTTGTGACTTAGCAGTAGCAGGTCAGATCTGTGTATGTTCTGTACACTGCTGGGATTTGCAGTCTTGTGATTCTTAACTGTGTAGTTCGGTAATTAAGCTGTACATAGATTTGTTAATGCATTTCTTCACCTCAGGGCAAGCTTTTAATGTCATTGAGGGCTGGGGTTGGCTTATCAGGGGGTAGCAGTAGTAGTCGGAACATGTTTTATAACTTGTCCTGACAGGAGAGCCTTGCTCTATCTTGCCAGTTTCAGCATATGTCATCTATGGGTACCTTTAGAACATCATTCTGAGAATTTTGGCCTTGCAGTCTTGATAGCTTCATCAGATGTCAATGTATTCACAGAAGGATGGATCAACCTGCTGTACAGAGTCTGTGCTGCTGCAATGAAAAGGTATATTAGAGCTGAACCCCAGGCAAACCACTAAATGAGAGGTTGAAACTTTAATTTTCCAGATTAAGAATTTGTATTCTTGTTCATCTATTTACGCATCTCTGACAGACAGCAGAACCTGGTTATTGACTTTACTTTTCTTTCGATTGCAGTTAACCTCCCTGCCCCCAGCCTGTGATTGGTCTGTAAAGGAGAAATAGCTGTCATATGAGCTTTTTCCTTCATCTATCTACTCCTTTTAGCACAAGTGCAATGCAACACCCCTAGCGGGCGTGCACGAACGCAATCCCACCAGGAATGTGAACAGCCGTCCCCGGCAGTTAAATGCAAGCAAGTGGCCGACTCTATAGCTGGCCAATGGCTTGGATGAGGATACACAATTAAGCCCCCCCCCCCCTTTGCTGCCGCCCCCCTTTGCTGCCTGTTAACCCTGCGAGCCCGGAATCGAGAACACCGGAACATTTGCTCTCTGTTCTCAGAAGGAGAGATCAGCATTCCCCCACCGCTGATCTCACCTCCTTCTCTTTCTAAAGGCGTAAGCAATAGCCATTAGATCACTTCCGCCTTTAGCTGTCATTTCTCTGGCTGCTATAGCCATAGAGGAAGCCAGTAAAGCAGATCTCTGCTTTATCAGTTTCTTTGGTAAAATTAGGGATCTTAGAGACCCCTGATGTCTCCATAAAGAGGACTTGTCATTGTTTTTTTGGCTCAAGTTAAGTGTAAAAAAAAACGCCCAAAAAACGTTTTACGTCCCCCCACCCCACGTTATAAACGTAAATACGCGTCGGGTGCGCCTACATGCGAGAACCACAATTACGGCACGTTACATATCGCCACGAACGTCGCAGTGAGAGCAATCATTTTAGTGCCATTAATCACTGATAACACTAAACTGATGGGCGGTAAACGCTTTTAAAGCGTCACCTATGGCCAATTTTAGGCATTTGGGTAGGTAGTTTTAGGTAGTTTTTTTGCGATTTTGCGGGCGCAAGCAATTTTAAAGCTTGACATGTTTGGTGTCTATTTACCCAACGTGACTCAGTCTTTTATATTCTACCAAGAAATTGGGTGCTGATAAATGTTTTATAACAACGTAGGGAAACAGTTGTGTTTTTTTCCAAAATTTTCTGAACTGTTTTTCATTGTATAGTAAAAAAAACAAAAACCCAGTGGTGATGAAATACCACCAAAAGAAAGCTCTATGTGTCCCCAAAAAATGGTATAAAATTCATTTCAGTACAGTGTTACATGATGGAATAAATGTCAAAGTACTGCAGCGCTGAATACTGAAAAATGGCCTGGCCAGGAAGCGGGTTTAACACCCTGGTCAGTAAGTGGTTAAAAGCCAGTTTACACACAGCCTTTGTGGTACTCATGTGTTGCTTTTTCCTTTTTTGCACACTGAAAAAATTAATCCTCTGTGGTTGACAATTAGCTCTTTTGAAGGTTGAATGTACTTTTCACTACTTATGAAAGACTTATTCATATAATTTATTTAATACAGGCTTTTATATAGTGCCAAGAATTTACGCAACACTTTACATACTATTCATTCACATCAGTCTCTGCACTCGCGGAGCTTACAATCTAAGGTCCCCATCTTACACACACACACACACACACACACACACTAGGCTTATTTTAGAAAGGAGCCAATTAACCTACCAACGTGCCTTTAACATGTGGGAGGAAGTTGGAGTATCCAGAGGAAACCTAGGCAAGCATAGGAAGAATATGAACAGGGAGACTTATGTGAGCATATCCCTACCTGGCCATTACACTTGATGATGCTTAAATCTGTTGTAGTATTTTTCGTCAATCGGGCCATAAATGGTGATCCTGGCGCACATGGGTTACCACACAATAGTAGAAATTCTTCAAATATGAAGCTTGGACCTTTTATTGTTACTAGTGTCTTGTTTTGCCATAAACCTGAACTGTGTGAGGCTTTGTGGCATTTATTTTATTGACTTAACCTCTTGCCGTCCGCCCGTAGTAAAAAAACGGACGGACGGCACTGCAGCATCTGCGGGTTGCCGTCTCTAAAAAATAAAACCCCCAGTGGTGAATAAATACCACCAAACGGAAGCTCTATCTGTCCCCAAAAAAGGGTAAAAAAATTAATTTCAGTACAGCGCTGCATGACGGAATAAATGTCAGTTAAAGTACCGCAGCGCTGAATACTGAAAAATGGCCTGGATGGGAAGGGGGTTTAACACCGTGGATGTCAACTGGTTAAATAAATCAATTACCGGTGTAACACAGAGCGTTGAGAAAAGGGTAACCAGATGCGTTTAATAGTTTAGACTGCAATATACAGTCTCCCAAGGGACATGTAAACCCCAGCTGTGGATGTTCCACAAGTGCCACCTTGTCCCATGACCAGAATTTCGAGATGATTTGCAAAGTTCAGGCTCCTTGTAGAAATGAATTTGATAGCAAATGGACATAGACTTTGGCAGAATAGTCTATTGTTTTAAAGGAGCAGCAGTATTACAACAAAAGCTGCTTTATGCAAAGGAGTCCTTCAGAGCACTTAAAACATGGGTGGACACGCCCATATATGCAGACACAATTTGACCCGTTAAATATGACCTCCTTGCAAGTTGTTGTAGCAGGTGGCATTATCTTTCTATGGGATTGCACTTTACTTTGTGGATTTATACATTACTAGTTGCACTCAAGTGACCTATCAGTCTTCAGCAAGTATTCTGTTTATTAGAATTCTAATCACACCTTTTAATAAAAGTAACTCTCTCCTGAGGTTACCAAATGAATAGCTTCTGGTCCTATCTGATCCATGATTGAAGCTATAACAGTTGAGCCAAAGGACTATTGTCTGTAGACAAAAATATGTGTCCTAAAATTTTGCACCCCCAACATTGCACTCTCCTAAATGTGTTCAGTTCTGACAATTTTACATATAGGGGTGGGGCAGTATAATAGGAAAACGACATGACAAAGGAATTAAAAGTTACAAAATCACAATTGCCAACATCGCAACACAAATTGATTGCCAATTGACAGTGTCAGCTGGAAATTAGTTGTAATTTTAGCAAATTGCTAGTTGATGCCTGTTGCTTGAAAGCATATCAGAACAAGGGGGTCTGGATATACCGGATATATGTGGATACTACAGGGCCTGCCACCTAAATAGGACTGTGGACTGGCATGTAAATGGAACCAACAAAATGTGGGTGCCCATGGAGGTAGGGTGGGCCCCCCAATCACTGACCTCCGGTCACATGGATAGCGGACAAGTACAGACAGCCTAGCCTTTTGCTACACCCTCTCATAGGTCAGAGCTTGTAATTATGCCTCTATCTCAGATGCAGGAGACAACTGACTACTCCTGAAAGTCCGCTTACTCCATTAACAGACAATTCCGATTTCCCATCGGGCTCTACAATGGAGTTCTTGCATCAATGGGTGCCTCAGGAGCTGCTGAGAGCACACCATTTTTTTTAGAAACCAGAAGTTTCAGGATAGACTAGACTTGCAGGAGCTATCCAGAGGGGAACAGGTAACATGGTGGAAATACCTCCAGGTACGTCCTTATCTGACTGCCCAGAAAGGGGACTTTGACAGAGCTCTGGCACCTTTCAAACGGGTCTGCGCCGGCGAGAGACCTTTCAGGCATTTGATCTCTTGGCTCTATGCATTATTGAAAGACTCAACGCCCCTTCGTGCTGTGACCCTGAGAAAGAGATGGGAAAAAGATCTGGAGCGGCAGATCTCAGAGGAGACATGGGAAAAGATTTGCAGGGGGGCACACAAATGCTCGGTGAGTAGCAAAGCACAAGAGACCAACTTCAACATACTTACCCGCTAATATAGAACACCTGAGATCTTGCACAAGATGGACCCCTCGATACCGGCAGACTGCTGGCGGTGTGGGTTCGACAGCAGTTCCCTGATGCACATCTTCTGGATATGTAGTTACATAGTATTTGAGGTTGAATAAAGACATATGTCCATCAAGTTCAACCTATTGTGTATGTTTGTATGGTCCTACTGATGTGTGCGTATGTATAGGTCTCTGTTCTCATTCTTAAAAGTACTTGTACCCCTGTATATTACGGTCTCTGAGGAAATCGTCCAATCGCCACTTAAATGATGCCACACTCTCAGCCGAAATCACAGCATGTGGCAGCGAGTTCCAGACCCTGACTGATCAAACTGAGAAAAAAAACCTACGCCCCTTGTGCTGACATTTTTTCTCCACCAATTTTAGGTGGTGGCCTCTCGTCCTTGTCATGGAGTTAATTGTAAAAAGTTTGCTGCTAAAGTTGCTATCCCCGGTAAACATTTTCTACATGAAAATCATGTCCCCCCTTAATCTCCTTAATTCCAATGAGAACATATTTAAATTTAGTAGCCTGTTCTCATAGCTCAGGTCCTCTATCCCCTTTCCGAGTTTGGTCGCCCTCCTCTGGACTCTTTCCAGTTCAAGGACATCCTTTCTGTTCACTGGTGCCCAAAACTGGACCGCATACTCCAGATGAGGCCAAACCAGTGATCTATGGCAGTGAAGTGGCAAAATTATAGACTTGTCCCTGCTGAACATTCCCTTCTTAATACAGGACAGGACCCTACTTGCTTTGCTTAGCTTACCGCAGCCTGACACTGTGAGCTATTATTCAGTCTGTGGTCTACAATGACCCACAAATCCGTTTCCCTTTCGGACTTCCACAGCGGAGCTCCCATTAGTGTTTAATTCGCTTTCTTATTTTTACCCCAAAGTGCTCAACCTTACATTTATCTACATTAAACCTCATCTGCCATGTAGTTGCCCACTCCCCTATTTTATCCAGATCCTCTTGTAATGTTATAGCGTCTGGTTATAGCGAAGGTTAAACAGCATGGGGCCCAGTACTGACCCCTGTGGCACGCCGCTCATGACCCTAGCCCAATCCGAGAAGGTGCCATTTATCGGTACTCTTTGTACCCGTTCCTGTAGCCAGTTTTCTATCCATGTACACACCATTTCATCTATGCCCATAGACCCATAGCTTGTGTAGTAAACGTGTATGTGGTAAGGTGTCAAATGCCTTAGCAAAGTCCAAATATACCACATCCACTGGCCTCCCTCCATCTAGATCTCTACTTACCCCTTCGTAAAAAGTTAGCAAGTTAGTCTGACAGGAACAGTCTTTCCTAAATCCATGCTGGTTGTCATTTACTATGTCATTATCCCGAACAAATTCTACTAAGTGGTCTTTGATCATACCCTCTAACATCTTGCACACAACCAATGTAAGGCTAACCGGTCTGTAGTTCCCCGGATGGCATCTAAATCCATTTTTGAATATTGGAACTACCGTAGCCTTTCGCCAGTCGCTGTACCATTTTGGAGGAGGGTGCATGACCTGATATGTAAAATCCTGTTCAGGGATATGTAGTACTCCCCAGGGGTCTTCTTGCTACACCTCCCGGCTAAGTCCCTGCAGAAACATTTGACTAATGCCGCTAGAGCACTCATACCAAGACTGTGAAAGGAGACCAGAGTCCCCACAGTAGGGGAATGGCTTCATCAAGTGGGGCACATTTGTGAGATGGAGGAACTCTTGGCGACCAAGCAGGACCGTATGGATAAATGTGCACAGCTTTGGGCACCTTGGATGGTGTTTTCTTGTAGTGTCGAATTTAGAAACTTGAGAGAGATGTAAAGATGGTGATGAAAGAAGGGACATCTCCTCCGGAGATATACACGGGAAGCAATGGGGTTAATATCTCCTGCCCCTGATGGGGTGGGGGGACCCCGGTGGGGAAAAGAGGACTATCACCCTCCCTCTCTCTCTCTCTATCTATCTATCTATCTATCTATCTATCTATCTATCTATCTATCT